TTTAAACTTGGAACCTAAAGAGCCCTTAATTTTGGGTTTTTCTAAATGCAAATTCCTGACTTTGCGTTGCTGGCGAGACACAGCTGAGAAAATCTGCTAATTCTCACCTCACTTTTGTAGTAGCTTGACAATATCGATAATATCTAATCGATATGTCCCTAACTGGCAAAAGTACGTCTTGCATGCAGCCTAATTCAACTTTGTAATATATTTTTTAAATTTTTAAGGTTCCGTAACTACATATTCTTCTTATCATACCATAATTATATGAAAAACATTTTTTGATAGAACTAGAAAAATGATTGAAAATAATAAATAGAGAAATATGGGTTCCCTAAGCAAATATTCGACTATATGCAGCAAGTACTTTCAAGAAAAATGTTTTTCTCATAGAGGTGTGCTAAGGGAAAACTACAACACATCCAACCATAAATACGTATCAATAAAATTACTTATTGAAACTTATTTTAATAGTAGAATAATGTATGTGGCTAAGTTGCAAAATATTTTAAGACCTCACAACATTTTACAATAAATTAGTTTTTTGAATGAAAATACAAATCTTACAACTTTTGTTACAATCAAAAGATACAATCTTTCCTTTTATTATGCTGTAGAAATGCGGTCATTAAGGAGTACGTTAGGGCTGAATCTGAAAGACGGTGAGACATTGTGTGATAAGAGAAAAGTGTGAAAGATGACGTTGTGACCAGAATTGAGAAAGGAATGCTTCGATGGTTTGGTCGTGTAGAAAGAATGAACAAATAAAGAGTGTCGAAGCAAATCTATGTTGCAGAAGTGAGTGGCATAGTCGACAAGGGCCGCCCTAGACGAAAGTTTATCGACCAAATTGGCGATATATTAAAAATAGGCCAGATTAAGAGTACCCTAAACAGTCGAGTATGTGTTTATTTCCCATAGTGTAGCAGATGTTCATGGGTGGCGATAGTCACTTACCATCAGGTGAGTCGCATGCTCATACATTCTTAGATCACTTAAAATATTAATTCTTTTTTGCTTCTCGTTGTAGTAAGAAATTCCGCATCCACTACTTTCTCTTTCGCTTACGTTTCATTACCGTAATAAGTACTATGTACGCAGCACTAATCGTAACAACATCCTCGGATGAGATTTTTATAAGCACTGACTATGTGGCCTGCAAAATGTTCCGCGACATATGTCTCGGGATATTGCACCTAGTTGTTTGTTGAGCGACATGTTGCGCAACATGCCGCCCCTTTTGTTCCCAAGTATATTTGTGTGTGGTTGTGTAAAACTAATTTTACGTATTTTATCGCGCTTAATTTTAGCTTACTCTAATGTCCCACGTTTTGAATGCTTGCCAGCGTTCACGAACCCAAAATGACCACGGGGGATGAATTGTTTAAAATATTATTTATGATAATTAAACAGGAAAGCACCATCTTCCTGATAACGACTTAAAACTGTATAAAACTGCGGTTGCCAACACGTCTGCCATGTAAGCTACGGCAAAATCCCCTATGAGTAAATCTATGGGGGAGGCCTATGTTCAGCAGTGGACTTTTATCGGCTGTAATGAATATTTGACAGCACTTACAAGACCGCTCAGACCCATCCAACTATAGGCCTATCGCGATCACCTCCTTGTTCTCCAAAATAATGGAATCCATTATTAACTGCCAGCTCATCCGGTACCTTGAGGATCACCAGCTGATTAGTGACCGCCAATACGGTTTTCGTCGGGGTCGATCAGCTGGTGATCTTCTGGTCTACCTGACCCATAGATAGGCGGAGGCAGTAGAGTCCAAGGGGGAGGCGTTGGCCGTTAGTCTGGACATTGCGAAGGCCTTCGATCGGGTTTGGCACAAAGCGCTTCTTTCGAAGCTCCCTTCCTATGGGCTTCCCGAGAAATTGTGCAATTGGATCACCAGCTTCCTTGCAGATCGGAGCATCAAGGTCGTTGTAGACGGTGCATGCTCTGACTACAAGCCTATTAACACGCTGGTGTTCCACAAGGCTGTGTGCTATCACCAACGCTGTTTCTTCTGCATATCAATGATATGTTGCTAACTGGTAACATTCATTGCTATGCGGATGACAGCACTGGTGATGCTCTATACACCGGCCGTGCCAATATTTCTCGGGAAAACGTCGCTGAGTATCGGAACAAACTTGTGTCTGAAGTCGAGTCTTTGCTGAACAAAGTCTCGGATTGGGGGCGACTAAATCTAATCCAATTTAATCCTCAGAAGACACAAGTTTGCGCGTTTACCGCTAAAAAGAACCCCTTTGTCGTATCTCCTCAGTTTCAAGGCACTCCCCTTCTTGCCTCAGCCAGTATCGGTATCCTCGGAGTCGACATATCGAGTGACGTGCAGTTTCGTGGTCACTTGGAAGGGAAGGCCAAATTGGCCTCTAAAAAGCTTGGCGTGCTCAGCAGAGCGGGACAGTATTTCATGCCGGCACACCGCCTGCAACTTTACAAGGCGCAAGTTCGGCCTCACATGGAATACTGTTCCCATCTCTGGGCAGGGGCTCCCCAGTGCCAGCTCCTTCCACTTGACCGCATCCAACGCAGAGCGGCTCGAATCGTCGACGACCGAGCCCTTTCCGATCGGCTCGATTCATTGGCACTGCGAAGAGATGTTGCATCCCTTTGCATTTTCTTTCTCATCTACCATGGGGAGTACTCTGAGGAATTGTTCGGATTAATTCCAGCCGCCAAATTTCACGAACGCACATCGCGGCAGAACTCCCGATACTATCCACACCATCTGGATGATTGGCGGTCCACCACTGTGCGATTTAGAAGATGTTTTCTTCCTCGCACGACCTCCTTGTGGAATCGATTACCATCAGCGGTTTTTCCGGACCGATACGACTTAGGGACCTTCAAGAAAAGAGCGTACTCCTTTTTAAAAGGCCGGCAACGCATCTGCGATTCCCCTGGTGTTGCAGTTGTTCATGGGCGGCGGTAGTCACTTACCATCAGGTGAGCCGCATGCTCGTTTGCCCCCTCTCCTATAAAAAAAAAAAGATAAAAAATATGTACTCAGTTCATACACTTAAATAATATTCACAGCTTTAAAAATGAAACAATATAACTTTAAATATAGAAATGTTACAAAAACATAAACAATGTTGGTAAATAAACTGGTTTTTGCGACGAGGTTCGGATTTTCCACCACTCGTCAGTAACAAGTGTGTTAAACAGCTAAAAGAAACGGTTATTTACATTCTTTGATTAATTAAAATAATTATATCAACGAACAAAAATCAATAACAAATTCTAGACAGCCCAGGTTATATACGGCATTAGGACGGTGAACACTTGAGAATGTATCTAGTAAATGCACTGGAAATATATGGACTTACAAATAAATTATACGTAGTAAGATAAAATAAGTATGATAAAATAAGTACTGGCGATTCGCCCGGCTTTGCACGGGTGATTTGTGGATCTCGACAACAGCGCCACCTACCGGGCCTAAATAAGAATATAAACCATCTAAGTACCCATTCAAACACAAAACAATTCATCAAAATCGGTCGTGCCGTTGTTCAGTTTTAGCGAGAGTAACGGACAGCAATTGATTTTAAGAGATATAGCAATAATATTTCTGAGAGAGTTTTAGGGCAAGCAGATGTCCACCCATTGGGGCAGCAACAGCGCATTGGCGTGTTGGTGAACTTCACGTCTTCGAAATATTTTTTTTTCTTATTTCTCAGACATGCAAGTTTTCTCTAGATGTTTTCCTTCACCGCTGAGCACATGGTAAATGAGCACTTAAAATTGCAATTAACAATTTCATTGGTGCCGGCGGTGATCGAACCCTCTCAGAAATGAGAGGGGGAGTCTGTAACTAACTTTATTAACTTTATAGTAATAATATAAGAAATATTTATTAAAAAATATGAATTTACTATCATAAATTAATGCTGAAATTTAAATCGTTGAGTCCCGAGGATTTTTTTTAATCATTATAAGGGTTCCGTACCCAAAGAGTGACCAAGAGGACCCTATTACTAAGCCTCTACTGTCCGTCCGTCTGTATTTCATCAGGCTGTATGTCATGATCCGTAACAGATTGTTGAAATTTTTACAGAAGGTGTATTTCTGTTGCCGCTATAACAACAAATAATAAAAGTTAAAATAACTTAAAACGTAAAAGGGGTTCCCCTACTAGAAAGAACATATACGAATGCAACTTAAATGAAATAAAGTTTGAATTTTGCGCCCAAGCGCATTGCGTTTTCCGTATATTTCTCTTGGCAATGTAAAATTCGGTGTCGAGTTAACAACAAAAATTATTACTATATATATTACTGGCACTAAAATTGTGTTGATCCAAAAGTCGCCAGATAAGTAGCTAAACCATTTTTGTCTTCAATATTTTTTTTGTCGCTATGACTCAAGTTGCCGTCAAAATTTCCCAAAAACTACGCAAAGTGACGCATCATCACAACATTGTGAAGTAGTTTAGTATAAAGGATTATTATCACTTGATACCATAATGCCTCCTCTACACTACTCGTGAAGTTACCTCGATGAAGTGCGCGTCAAAGTATACACACTCGTAAAACTTCGCGAAGAACTCAGTAGCCTTGAGTCGCCCGCACACACTCTGTGAATAGTATGACGTCAATGCGTTAACTATAGATAAATAAATATATAAAAAGTTTAATATATAACTGGCATAGGCGGATACGCCGAGTAGTGTAGTGAGATTCTTCTTGTAATTTCGGGGCACCTCGCGAAGACCTTTGAGTCGGGGGCAAAAAATCGACAGCGATCAAAAATCGCCAGAGGCGAAGCGAGGTTTCACGAACCGAATCGAAGTACCTCTCTTCACTACACTATTCTCCTCGCCCAACTTCGATCAACTTCGTGAGTAGTTTAGAGGGGCCATAAGCATCATATTAGTCTGTACTTGAATACTAAGATAAATGAAGATATGGCTTAAAGAACAAGCATTCAAGCCAAAAATCTTAATAAAAAAATCAAATCAAAAATCAATGTTTTTGACACAGAGTACATTATATATAGAAATTTTGATAAATTTTGAAATTATTGACGACTATAATCAAATTTTCTAACTTGTAATAAACTAATGAGCCCTGTTTATAACATTTCATTCACTTCATGTTTACGTTCAGTATTTTTATAAGTTAAAATGGATATTTTTAATTCAAACAGCATCGAAGAAAACTTTCCAATAAATGTGTGCCGTTGTTGCCTTGCAGAAGGTTGTTATAAAGATATTTCCAGTGAATATTTTATCTCAGGAAAGAAAGAAGTCTACGAAGAAATGTTGAAAGATGTTTTCAATGTGGAGGTACGTATTATGTATAATTAAAAGTAAACTGTGGTTAAATACTGCCAAACAACCTATTGATATTGTTTTTACCATCACAAGTTCTATTAGGTATTAAAAAAAACATAAAGGTTTATCGTATATTTTTTATTTTTGTTGTCGTCTAAGAGTTGCATTAAAAGATTCATTTACTATTTTCTATCTTCAGATTGGAATTTTTCTCCAAATTTACATGGGATCTCCCTTGGGATGGGCTTGATGAACTACCTCTAACTATAATTATATAAACATTGTTACATTAATTTGAAAACAATAAAAATTTCAGATTTCGTACCAAAAGTATGGGGGCCCAAGCCGTTATAGTCGACTAATTTGTGAAAACTGCATTATAAAACTGCGGGATGCAAGAGAATTCAAATATAAAGTTTTGGCGAGTGAGAAGTCTTTTATCAAGTATTTAGATAACATGCAAATAAATATAAAACAAGAGGGTAAGTTTTCAAGGGTTGCCATTTTATTATCCTGGGACATAATTTTGTTGGTGATTTTTGGTTTTCATGAATGTACAACAATGCTTCTGTATGTCCTAGTGGCTTTTCATTTTTACACAAAAATATGATGTTTTTAAAGTTTTGAAATTCAATTGTGAGTTCAATTAATCAAAGAATCGCCATCAAGGTATCAATTTCATGTATCAATCTAGAACACGGATTTGTGAATCGATCCAAGAACCTGTCGAAAATGGTGTTCATCAGTGGACTTTTAATAGATTGTGACGAATGAATGCACAACTTAATTATGTTTTATGTAAGTGGTTATTGTTTATTTACACTAGGAAAACTAGTATATTGGTACGATAAAACCTAAAGGCATTAAGTCCACTCTTTGTAACTGTAAACCTTATGTTCGGTAATGATTGAAGCGAGGGGGAGCTTTAGGTTATTCGTGACTATAAAGCGCAGGTGAAGCCAGTGCAAGAATGAGTATCCTATTTTTCATGACTCTGGCGTTAAAACCCCACCATTAATATGATGGTGGCGGGGCTGTCGGGTGAGAAGAATGTCTGTATTGCAAGGCACCGCGCACTCCCTGTCCTTAGAGACTAGACCATATCTGCTGCTAAATCAAGTTTGGTGCTAATGTTCATTTTTCCTGACTCCACGTCTGTGTATTGTACTCCGAGGACTCTGTTGAACGTAAAATTGGAAGCCCCGGAGGAAGGTGTGCATTGTATTGGTATGCGTCTTACCTCAGATGGAGAATTTGGAGGAGTAATCCCTCCCTTGGAAGGGCTGTCATGGAAAAGGCGGCGGATGTATATAGGAATATATGTAGTGAAGGTGAAACACCATGGGGTTTAGTCGGTGTGAGTCTGATATAACCCATCCATTATTGTCTTATTGTGAAGTGGGTAAAAAAGTGGCCGTAAAATGAAAAGAGGAGGTCTCCCACCGGGTAAGGTATTCTGTGCTCCAAGTGGTATATCAGAGCTATTCTATATATAATGTTTTTACTTCAGAACTTTGATAGCGTGATTTAGGTTCGATGTGTTTCACTTGTGGTGCGACGATAGCGCCGCCACACCACCAGCTCAGACTGGAGTTTGATAGTTCAGTTATATATATACTATTACTAGTAAAGAGTACTATATACTAGTAAAAAGAACTGTTCCTTATTATACCACTTGCAGTGTAACTGGGATTTTATAGTGTAGGATTTGAGTTTCATAAAAGTGCTTTGAAAATACGACAGTCTAAGCCCGTGTGCTTAGCAACTTAGTGCTACATCAACACTTACTCTCAGCTCTGCCTTCCTAATCTAGTAAGCTGTATTTTTTGATATGGAGCTATATACATTCCAAATCCTTGTGACAAATTCTATGTACATCTGTTATCTACTTAGGAAGAAATGAAACAATAAGCTTTAGTGAATAGTTGGCTTGAGCCGTGGTAGCTCAGATGGTTAGCGCTCGCTGTAAGTTTCAGAGTATGCGAGTAACCCGGGTTCGATCCCCACCGGCACCTATGAAATTGTTAATTGCAACTTTAAGTCGTGATTTACCACATGCACAGCGACGAAGAAGAACATTGTGAGTAAACCTGCACGTCTGAGTAATAAGAAAAAAAATATTTCAAAGACATGTGAAGTTCACCAACAAGCATTGGGGCAGTGCGGCGGACATTTCCTTGCCCTAAAACCCTCTCTGCTATGAGAGGGGTCTGTGCCCAGCAGTGGGACGTATATAGGTTATAACTTTAACAGCATTGGCTGTAAATTATGCCAACCTTACTACAGGCTTGAATAGCAAAGTGGACCTGGATTATGTGAACTTAATACTGGCTAACAATAAGTTAAGAAAAGTGTGATTGGACAATGAATGTTTATCTGTGTGAAATAAAATGAATTATAATTGTTATTGTTACAGAAAATATTCAAGAAACCGATATAATATCAGAGGAGCGTGCAATTAAAGTGGAACTGGATGTGAATACCGACAATGAGGTCGAAAGTTCTGAAAATGATATATTTGGGAACAGCCAGGTTGTTAATTACTATGGTAAGTTAATGTTGGTCAATGTTTTAGATTTTAAGTTGTGAATGCCATTGGTGATGCCATGTAGAGCTGCTGTAAGACAAATTGATTACACTAACATATCTAGTGAGGCAATGCTCTTTAATTTATAATAGGAAGACAATGAACCTCAATAATTTATTACACAAAAGGAAAAAACGGAACCCTTATAGGATCACTTTGTTGTCCATCTGTCTGTCTGTCAAGACCCTTTTTCGCAGTGCATACCACAATCTGAAATTCATATCAAATACTCAAGTCTACTGTGCTTTGGAGCTGTGAAAAAATCAAACTTCTAAGTCAACGCAATCAAAAGATACAGCCGTTTATGTCGCAAATTTTCGACATTCGTAAGGCAATCAAAACCTACAGGATACTTCCCGTGTACTCAGAATCTTAAAATTTGGTACGAAGCAACATATTATAACACAGATAAAGGAAAAATTGCGAAAAGCATAAATTTTTAGTTACATCATATAATAAAAATATTTTTAATAATTTTAAACTTATATACCTACAGATTTGTTTGGAACCCTCGGTGCGCGATTCCGACTCGCACTTGGCCGGTTATTTTTAATTATTTTGAGTTCTTTAATGGGAACATATACCGCTACTGGTAGTGTAAGAATATCCACTACCTCATCATCCCCTGGGTATCGTAAGAAAACAGAAGATGGGCAGCAGCGTCTTCCTAATAACGACTTAAAATTAAAAAAACTGCGGTTGCCATCTTGCTTGTCAGGCATGGCAATTATGGCAAATATTCATTCTGTGAAGCAATCTATGGTGGAACCCTACGTCCAGCAGTGGACTTTAATAGGCTGTAACAGTAATGGTAACAGGAAGATGCTGCTGCTGACCTCCTGTTTCAGTTTCCCTGGTTTTTTTATAGAATTTTTTTTCCTCATACTACGAGTATACCCATGGAATAATATGAGGTAGCGGATTCTCTTAAGCAGCCATTACACGGCAACCAAGATAAGAAATGTAATACACACCGCAAGTGTACAATCACGTTGTCCAAAATCACAAAATCTTCGACGAGTTCCTTAATAATCAGACGTAGTCCGATTGCTCGTAGTCGCTTCCCGAAGAAGGGTTCACTATCGCGTTCACTAAATAATTCTTTCTCCAATCAACGGCGCACGATTCTATACCCAAAAAAGAGAAAGAACATTCTAGGTTCATTCAAATATTCCGCTCTTTCAATGGGAAAATACTAGAACACTCGCGATTAACAACATGCCTAAAGAAGTAAAGGTTTTTCTTATGTAGACATAAGGTTGCGTATTGCTTGCATCGATTAGTTTGGGCGTTGTCTATTCTTACGCCCACACATTTTGACAGAGGACATTGATCCTCATTTCGTAATTACACGTAATGCAACACGCACCTCTTTATTGTAACAATATATTCATGAAATGTTCAATTCTCTATTACCATCCGTTTTAATACAAAAGCAATGTAAATATAAGAGCATAATAATTTAAAAATAAAAATTTTGTAGAACCAACTTCAATATAAATTCTCATCATTCTCAACTCAAAAACTGCAATGTGAATCACCAGCTTTCAAATAAAAAAATCATCGAAATCGGTTCACCCAGTAAAAAGTTATGAGGTAACACACTTAAAAAAAACATACAGTTGAATCGAGTACCGTCTCCTTTTTGAAGTGGGCAGAAAATCTTAAGCAACATGCATTGATCGTGAGCTGTGATGATCCTGATAATTATTATATTTTGATCCTGGTGATCCTGATTAGGATTCTAGGATACAGCAAATAAATTATAGTATTGTCATCGGTCCTTGGTACTGTGTTTTTTTTTATAGGATATGGTGACCACAGTCCACCTGATGGTAAGTGGTTGCTGTGACCCATAGACATCTACATTTATCCTCTATAAAGAATCAAAATGCAGATGCGTCATCACCCGTGAGGATTAAGATGGAATGCCGGTTAGTGTGCTATTTTCCAAGCCAATCGACCATCTACAAGTTGGTGAAAATTACATTTAAAGATTCCATTACATATACAGGGTTATATACGAGTATATAAGAGTAGCCAAACTTTAAACTTAAATTCAAATGTATAAAATAATGATATACCGTTAAATAAGGCTTCTCCTTTTATTTGAAATTATCCCAAATTAAATGTGATTTATAAGCAATAATCGCACATAGAGGAGCGCGCAACAACTACGCGTACGCGCGCTCCTCTGTGTGCGATTCAATTCATTACACTTTTGCCAACTGATCGACCCTTACGAATGTGTGCGTTTATAGTAAAATAGTAGGCGTTTGATTTTTATGAATGACAATCAGTTAAAATTTATTTTACATTAGCATGCATTTTGAATTTAAAGGATTTTCTTCACCATTTGGCTATATTGCTTATTCTGAACCATCTTTGCAAATTTGGCCAGTTATTTCAAAATAACCGAGATACACGAAAAGCTAGGCGTGTTAATATAGGAACTAATAATATTGTCAATACTGTTTTTTGTGGTTACAAAAATGTACAAATCTGATTGAATTTCAGATGTGTTGGGAATTAAAGTAGAAACTGAATTTAATATCGACAACGAGATCGAAAGTCATCAAACGTTGGAGGAACAAATCGAGGAGAATCACACTGGTAAGTAAATGAATTGCTTTACTACTACTTCTAGGATAACGTTATTAAGTTATTGTATTGTCATCGGTCCTTGATCCATATTTTCAAGTCAATAGGCCAGCTACAATTTGGTGAAAATTACATTAAAAGATTCCGTTACATAGATAGATAGATACATGTGAAGCTAATTAAAGTGTGTTAATATAACAAATTGCACGCGACGTTTTATTTTACTCTTCCTTGTGGTTACAAAAATGTACAAAGCTAATTTAATTTCAGATGTGATGGGAGTTAAATTAGAATCTCAATTGAATGACGACAACGAGATCGAAAGTCATGAAACTTTGACAGACCAAACCGACGGTAACCACATTGGTAAGGAAATGAATTGCCTTATGGATTTTTATCTACCCTCTCGGAAATGAAAATGCCTTTGCCCAGCAAACTTTTTATATGTGGTAGTGTCACACTGCAATTATAATAGTTGTAGCACGAATGAGTCGGTTCGATCGGGGTAGGACCACGCTCCTCACAGAATACCAGCATATAATAGCAGCTCAATGCTGCTGTGTGTAGTATGGTGAGTGTAGAGAACCGTAGACCCTTTTCACTGTAAACGAGGCATGGGACGACAACGAGTCTCGAGTAATTTGATTCTTAATCGAGGATAAATGTAGATCACTATGGGCCACAGCCATTAGGTGAACTGTGTGCTCGTTTGTCACCTAAAAACGGACTATAAACCCAATTTTAAACGCCCTAGGCCTTTTTCTGTCTTTAAATTTTAAACTTTTGATAGATAAGGTCTGCATATTTTCTGGAGCTTTGTTGTAAAAGCATATATACATACATTGCCCGATGAAGGAATTAATGACTCTTTGGAGTAGGGTAATTGGTGTAATGAACTTGTGCTTGTTCCTAGTATTAAGAGAATGTTCATCACTATTTTCTACCGATTTCAAAAAGGAGGAGGTACTCAATACGACTGTATGTTTTTTTTTTATGTGTGTTACCTCATAACTTTGTTCTACTACTTGTGTGAAAGTATCTATCTAACGAGATTAGAGGCCGACTTCAAGGTCAAGGTCGTCACATATTCTTTGTTGATTACACGCGTAAAGTATTAATTTAAAAATTAATATTAGAAACGTAGGTACTGTTAAGCCGCGTCTCCACCAAAGTTTTGTTAACAACAGTTGTGTTGCCAACACGTGTTGGCAACAAATGTTTCTGTAATTACCTAGTGTTGGCAACAAGACTTGAAACAATGTCGGGAACCGTGTTTCCTTTTTCGGCGGCAACATCAAAGGAATACGCTTGTTGTAAGCATTTGTTCCCTCGGTGGAGACGCTTGTTGGAAACATTTGTCGCCAACATCGATAACAAATGTTGGTAACTTTTGTTGAGTTGTCAACAGTTGGAAACATAAATGTTGTCAACATTTTTGGTGGATACGCGGCTTTAAGCGTTATTAAGTGTTATCCGTGAGTGGTGATACCAAATCAAGTCTTTCGAAACAACATATACTGTCGCATAGTGTTGTATGAACTGATTTGTTTCTTTTTTTTTTAATTTTCAGAAATTTTCGGGAATTTAAAATTGCAGCTGAACAAAGAATTTAATAACATATCGACTGGAGGAGAAAATGTATGCGACAAGCGAAAATCAACTACAGAAAGTAACACAAAAAGCAAGAAGCCGAAACCAGCTGACGAGGGCACAAGTAAGTTATAGTTTCTATGTTCTATCAAAACTTTTTTTTTCTTTTCGTGAAACTAAAATGAGAAACGAACTTAACAGTCCACTTGATGGTAGGTGGCTACTGCAGTCCATGGACACCAGCAACCAATTTCATACAAAGCAACAGGTGTGTTGTCTCCCCAGAGAACAAAGATGGAATGTCGGACAGCCTGTAGTTATACTGATTCTCTATATTTATCAGATCAGAACAAAGAAATGCAGGCACTGTTATTGGACGACAGAAATATATAAGAGGGTTGTACTTACCCTGGAAAAGGAATTTCGAAGCCAAAGTTTATTTTAAGCCGCGTATCGATTACGCGTTCCTGGCGTGTGCGCGGTGTATGACCGCGCCGACCAGTGCGTTCCGCGGAACGCGCTCCAAATGTTCCAAGTGTATCAACTTAGCGGCAGCCGTTCCATTGTTTGACCGTTCAACATGGATGTCGGTCGTGTACGAGCAGCTGCCGCTTTCATGGTTCTATGCATCCTCTCTGAGCGCTTTGCACAGAGCACACACCAGATCTTTTAAACTATATAATTGTATGAATTTACGGCAACTTTGGTTATCCATAGCTCGGAACACAACGAACACACGAATAATGAAAACAACCGTCCCAACCGGCGCGCGTGTCAAAATTTAACTACTTTGATACGTTGTAAAAAACCAACACCAGATGGAGCTGCGGTCCGCTCCACGTTTGAGCGTTATAACGAACGATTCGGCGCGCGTTCCGAGGCGGTATCCATTTCGCGCGGCTGGAGCGCGCGCCAATGTTCGACCTCTTGGAGCGCGTAATCGATACGCGGCTTTAACACCGTTGTGTCTTTCAGAGCACGTAATAGACTGTGTAGTGGCGGTGTTATAATATCCACTACTCTATGTCGTCCCGTTGGTGGTATCATAAGAGGCAACAGAGGGAAACAAACCAGGAGGATGGACAACTGCATCTTCCTGATACCAACTCTAAGTAATAAAATGCTGCGGTTGCCAACTCGCCTGCCAAGTGTTCCAACTTGGCGAGGGGCTCATAGGGACCCTATGAGGCAATCTATTAAAACTACAGCCTATATACGTCCCACTGCCAGGTACAGGCCTCCCCTCGTTTCTGAGAGGGATTTAGGGCAAGGAAATGTCCGCCGCGCAGCCCCAATGCGTGTTGGCGAACTTTCACATGTCTTCGGAATATTTTGATTAACAATTTCATCGGTGCCGACGGGGATCGAACCCGGGTTTGCTCGCGTACTGTTATTTACAGAGTATGCTAACTATCTGAGCCACAACGATCTATAGCGAAGCGCCTATATTCAACAGTAGACTTTAGTAGGCTATAAATGTAATTAAAAATCGTGGATACTTTTTGAATTATTAAGACAGAATTGTTTTAATCAATTTCGGAACGAAAGTTTTGCAAAACAAAAAAAACTGTGTTTGAGTATGTTGTCACTTTGCTGTCAAAATTGACACACAAAAATAAAGAAAACAGATTGCGTAATGGTTGAGCCAATACGGTAAGTAAATCGATTTATTTTTCTGTCTACTACATCATTGCTCTCATCAGTTCACTGTCTTCAGTGTTTCTTATTAAACCCAACTTGCCGTTATTATACTATTATTCTGCTATCGTGCAAACTCCACTATATTAATCATTTGATAACCATACGATTATAATCCATGATTACACAGCAATAAAGTCCAATTTGTTTTTTTATATTTTATTGTTGTCAATTACCTTATATATAAAACTGGAGCGTTGTCTGTAATATTGAAATGATCGTCTTTGAGATAGCTGAGAGGTTATTTTCATGCCATTAAGATATATATAATCATTTTTAAAATTATGTCTGTCTGTCTATCCGGGCTAATATTCGGAACAGCTGTACCTCATATATAGTTAGGTGGCTAGGCTACATATAGATCACAAACCTATTGTGATCGCAGCCTAGATATCTAACTCTTAAAAAATATTCAACATTTTTTGGATTCTGCTTACCCCTCAGTGCTTACAGACATGATGTATATGTATGTTGTCTATTATCTTACGGTAACAAGTCACATATTTGAAATTACGAGTTTATGCTTTAAGTAGCTAGTATAATGTCGATTTTAATATTTGATATCGACAGTCAACAGGTGCCGAAAATGGTCGTTTTGTTTTGGTTAAACACTAATGTATTATGTCGTATTAGACGGTGCATTCTCCGACTACAAGCCTATTAACGCTGGTGTTCCACAAGGCTGCGTGCTGCCACCAACGCTGTTTCTTCTGCATATCAATGATATGTTACATACCGGTAACATTCATTGCTATGCAGACCCATATATTGTCTGAGACCTGTTTTAACTAACACAGGCTTCAGTGCTCAAAAATAACTAACTATAATGTAAGGTATGTTAAATAAATTTCATTTTATTATGCAGACGACAGTACTGGCAATGTTTTATACACCGGCCGTGCTAATATTTCTCAGGATTCGAACGTCATTCAGACATTTGTGTCTAAATTTGAGACTTTGTTGAACAAAGTCTCGAATTGGGGGCGACTAAATCTAGTCCAGTTCAATCCCCAGAAGACACAAGTTTGCACGTATACCGCTAAAAATAATCCCTTTGTCGTATCACCCCAGTTTCAAGGCACTCCCCTTGTTGCCTCAGCCAGTATCGGAATCATTGGCATCGACATATTGAATGACGTGCAGGGAAGAGAAGGCCAATATGTTTTCTTTTCTTATCTTCAAAAAGCTTGGCGTGCTCAGCAGAACGTGACAGTATTGCATGCCGGCACACTACCTGCAACTTAACAAGGCGCAGGTTCGGCCTCACATGGAATACTGTTCCCATCTCTGGGCTGGGGCTACCCAGTGCCAGCTCCTTCCAATTGATCGTATCCAACGCAGTGGTTCGGATTGTCGGTGAACGAGCGCTTTCTGATCGCCTTGACTCACTGGCATTGCGAAGAGATGCTGCATCTCTTTGTCTATCTTTCCGCATCTACCACGGAGAGTGTTATGAGGAATTGTTCGAATTTATTGCAGCCGCTCAATTCACCATCTCACATCGCGACAAAACTTTTTACGTGGTAGAGCCATGCTGCAGCTATATTAAAAGTATAGTTGTCGTACGAACGGGTCCGCTCGACCGGGGAAGGACCACGCTCTCACAGAATACCAACGTGAAATAGCAGTTTAATGCTGCTGTGTTTCGTACCGTGAGTGTATAGAACCGGAGCCCCTTTTTACTGGAAAAGAAACATTCTATCTTAGTCCTCACGGCTGACAACGCATCTGCATTTTAATTCGCTAACGAAGATAGATGTAGATGTCTATGGGCCACAGCAACTACTTACCATCAGGTGGACTGTGTGCTCGTTTATCACCCTTATTCTATAAAAAAATATAAATGAAAAATATTATTGGTCCTAAAAATGAACCCTAAGGTACGCCTAAAGTAACAAGATGTCACTGACGTTTATCTATTTTAACTAATTGTTTACATACGATTGTGCAATAATTACCTAAAATTTCAAGCGCTTTGCTTATGATGCCGCCAAGAGAATTTTTGTAGTAATAAATTGGGGCTAGTCGTGTCAAACGTCTGTTTAAGATCTATGACAGTTCCTTTAGCCACTTGTTTATGATCGGTTTTGTTTTTAATTTTTGCTTTTAAATCTATTGTAGTGAAAAATGTGTTCGATTATGGTCTAAATACTATGGTCTGATTTCATTGTGAATTAAGAAATGTTTTCAAATGGTAAAAAGTATTTTCTCGTTTTTTTTTTAAATGAAAATGGACGGTAATTACATGGATCGGTTCTACTTCATGTTTTATAAATTGGGATAAGCTTAGCAATTTATTGGTCATCGGGAAAGATGCCTTATTAACGCATTTTATTCACATCATATTTTATCGATAATGAGAAACGTCATATATGAAAATACAAAAACATTAGCTAAAAAACTAGAATTACATTGCACTATACTAGCGATCTGCAAATGCCCGACATCACAATTTTTCTCCTACATAGGTCATCATAGTCCATCCGTCCATCCATTACATCCTATAAATATCCACTGCTGAATATAGGCCTCCCCATAGATTGCCTCATAGGGGGGATTTTGCCATAGTTATAAGGTTACTATTGATTTGAAAATTTCACCTCTCAATGGGTCATGTGCTCCTGGTAGATTATCTTCTATACATCCATCCATTACATCCTATAAATATCCACTGCTTAACATAGGCCTACCCCATAGATTGCCTCATAGGGGGGATTTTGCCATAGTTATAAGGTTACTATTGATTTGAAAATTTCACCTCTCAATGGGTCATGTGCTCCTGGTAGATTATCTTCTATACATCCATCCATTACATCCTATAAATATCCACTGCTTAACATAGGCCTACCCCATAGATTGCCTCATAGGGGGGATTTTGCCATAGTTATAAGGTTACTATTGATTTGAAAATTTCACCTCTCAATGGGTCATGTGCTCCTGGTAGATTATCTTCTATACATCCATCCATTACATCCTATAAATATCCACTGCTTAACATAGGCCTACCCCATAGATTGCCTCATAGGGGGGATTTTGCCATAGTTATAAGGTTACTATTGATTTGAAAATTTCACCTCTCAATGGGTCATGTGCTCCTGGTAGATTATCTTCTATACATCCATCCATTACATCCTATAAATATCCACTGCTTAACATAGGCCTACCCCATAGATTGCCTCATAGGGGGGATTTTGCCATAGTTATAAGGTTACTATTGATTTGAAAATTTCACCTCTCAATGGGTCATGTGCTCCTGGTAGATTATCTTCTATACATCCATCCATTACATCCTATAAATATCCACTGCTTAACATAGGCCTACCCCATAGATTGCCTCATAGGGGGGATTTTGCCATAGTTATAAGGTTACTATTGATTTGAAAATTTCACCTCTCAATGGGTCATGTGCTCCTGGTAGATTATCTT